CTGTTTTGTTATAAATTGTTGGATATGATAAATTAGGGTGGAATTGGGAAAGAGTCCTATTTAGATAAGTAATTGAAAACTACTTAGAGAATCTTGATGATCTCAAGATGCAAGAAAAATTATCTTATTGGATTGGTTCATTGTTCTAGTTTCTCTGGTGCAAACAACTTTTCTTGGCATGAATAAATGAATGAAGGAATGACCAAATTATTGAATGTCAGAAATTTCGAAAATTTTTCTCTGTGATTGTCATGTACCCAAACAAACAAATAAATGATTTCAGTTCATCCAAACAACATTGGAGTGAATACTTGGAAAAGGAGGGAAAGAAATAGCTAATTAAAAGGTTTATCATGTGCTAGGCACTATTCTGTGTGCTTTATAAATTTTAGCGTATTTAATTTTTCAGCAACCTTTAATAAGCTCAATATTAATCTACATTCATTTTCAGATACATAAATGGAAACAGAACTTGAGTAACTTGCTCAGAGTCTCACAACTGTCATGGGGTAGGGCTTGGATTTTAAACCTGGTTGTCTGAAAACCATTATATTTTGCTACCTGCAGGATAGGGTATTGAAGCCACCCAATCTTGTTTCTGTCCTTACACTGATGGTTCAGAACTAAATTTTTTACCTCTATTTAGAAAAGGTGCTGTATGCTGTTTTAGGATTGAAAGATGTATTTTATCCCTAATCCTGGGTGGTCTTTACTTTCTAAGAGAGCCAGAGTATGTATTCATCGTAGTTGTTTCTGTAAACTCTGGCATACTTGAAATCCCTTTTGAAAGTAACATATTTGTTGCTTTGTGTTTTTTTTAAGTGTAGCATTCAGATACATATGAAATTTAATTAAGTTACTAAAAATTATATGCTTGCTTAAAATTTAACCCTCCATATTAGAGATGACATGCAAAAAATATGTTTATTACATAATAATAGAGAATTAAGAGCCAGTTGATTATACTTCCTCCATTTCTAAAGTGACTGGAGGATTGGCAGTGAACAAGTGAGGAAGCTACTGTTCCATATTTTTTTTTAAAAGAGCTTCTAATTAATTAAGACAATGGAGCTATCTATTACTTCCGAATTGCTTTTTGAAATTCCGTTTATTTTTAACACCTCCATAAGAGGATAGTTGGGAAAAGAGCTAAACTTAAAACTCATCAGTATGCTTTATAATTTTATAGCGTTGGTGAAATTTTAGCAATCACATTTTTTAAACTCTTATAAGAGTGAGGTTTGGCTAAAGTTTATATCTAATTTCTCTGTCATTTACAAATAATTGAAAACTCCCTGAACATATCCTGCATATTCAAATTTGTATTTGAAAAATTTTTTAAATCTTTATTTTTGAAGGTATTACAGATGTCCCCTTTTTCCCCGCTATTGACCCCTTCTAGCCTGCCTCTGCCTCCCCCACTCCCCCCCAGGCCTTCACCACCCTATTGTCTGTGTTCATGGATTATACATGCAAGTTCTTTGGTTGATCTCTTCCCATCCACCCCTCCTTCCCTCTGAGATCCAGCAGCCTGTTTCATGCTTCTATGTCTCTGGATCTATTTTGTTCATCAGTTTATTTTATTCATTAGATTCCACATATGAGGGAAATCATGTGATACTTGTTTTGAAATTTTCTTTGTATTTGTACAAGTTTTGAGGACTGGAAAGACTACAGAAATAAACTAATGAATGTACCAGGTTTCCTTTCCCTCTGCCAAATGGGGTATCACAGAAGTAACCTTACATACTGGTGTTAGATGCTTGACATCTGAACAGATAGTTGCATTTTTACATGTGTTTAAAACACATTTGTTGTGTTTTGTTGTTAGCTTATAATCTATTTGAAGAAACAAAGAACTTTAACATCTTAACAAATATGAAGATAAACTTTTACTTATAGAATGACATTTTAAACACAAAGTTGACTGATCAAGTCAACAAAAGTGCTTTGTATTACCACTTGAAGTTCTGATTGCAAATCCTTGTGAAATAGAATTTTTCCCTGACTTACCTCCATTCCTGAAACAAATTATATTGTCCCACATACTAGGTATTTGATTTATGTATTTTGAATGAGTGAATGAATAAACTAAAGTTTTGATAACTGAAAAGTTTGAAATTACCTTAGATATGCACAGTAGGATGGGCAGCTCAGCTTTAGGAAGTTGGGTTCTGAATTCATTTTCACAGATTCCTCAGGTCAAAGATCCCTCTTACTCCATTGATACTTGGAATTACTGCTTGGTTCTTAGTCTTTAATATCTTATAGGAAGCGAGCAATCAATTCTAAACCATCTGAAATTCTGAGGTGATAAGCCATATTGTATAACTACATTTTCAGCATGGTTGAGAGTTTATTTCTTTGTATATCAAAGAGTCATTATTGTCATTCTGAGTAATAATTTTAATACTCTGCTGCTTACTGAAATGCCCCAAGATCTGTTGTGTATAGAGCATAAAATATGCCTGGGAATAGGTAGTTTTTTCTCTTAATTTTGTTGGCAACTGCTGCTTAGTGCAGTCATTATGTGACATCTGCAAATTTTCTAATTGTGTTTTGTAACTATTTAATACTGTGAAATTCAAAGCATATCAATATCTGATCCATTTTCACAAACTCTGCTTCCCTCCATAGTAACACTTACTACCATATTTACCTTACCCATTTTCTTCTGTCTTTCCACAATATTGAGCTTCTTAAAGATTGTTTATTATCTACATGTTTCCCACTATGTAGTAAATACTTAAAAGATTTACTGTCTGGCTATATAAATGAATGAAATAAAATGGGATGAAATTGAAAATTATACTAGAGGCCTGGTGCATGAAATTCGTGCACTAGGAGGGGGACGGGGGAATCCCTCAGCTTGGCCTGCACCCTCTTGCAGTCCGGGAGCCCTCGGGGGATGTCCAGCTGCCAGCTTAGGCCCACTCCCTGCACAGGCCTAAGCCGGGAGTCAAACATCCTTAGCGCTGCCACGGAGGCGGGAGGGGTTACCACTGCTGTGCTCACTAGCCATGAGCTCGACTCAGGGCTTCTGGCTGCACGGCGCTCCCTCTGTGGGAGTGTACTGATCACCAGGGGGCAAGTCCTGTGCTGAGTGTCTGCCCCCTGGTAGTCAGTGCACTTCATAGCGACTGGTTGTTCCACCGTTCGGTCAATTTGCATATTAGCCTTTTATTATATAGGATGATTTGACCAAATTTGTTCAGGTCTGTGAAATAAATTTAAGGAATATTTCAGAAAGTATATAGCAGGGGTCCTCAAACTTTTTAAACAGGGGGCCAGTTCACTGTCCCTCAGACCATTGGAGGGCCGGACTATAGTTTAAAAAAAAACTATGAACAAATTCCTATGCACACTGCACATATCTTATTTTAAAGTAAAAAAACAAAACGGGAACAAATACAATATTTGTATTTGCATGTGGCCTACGGGCCGTAGTTTGAGGACCCCTGGTATATAGTGTATCCTCTGGGCAATAGATATATATCTGTTGTAGCTTCTTTTGTCCTTATTTGTTGGGCGTTTTGGTGTTGTTGTTTTATTTATGTGGTTTTTTGTTTTGTTTTGTTTTTCACTGCCTTGTTCTTGATTGTGCTTTGGATAGGTGATAAGTTTTCACTTTATTGAAAATTATTTTGACTTACTCAAAGATATTTCTTCTAGTCTCCCTTTCCTGGTGATGATGAAGAGGAGGTTTTTGACAGTATTGTAAATGATGAAGTAAGGTATCCAAGGTTCTTATCTACAGAAGCCATTTCCATAATGAGAAGGGTAAGAATTAATGGTTTATAAACTATTTAAATTTTTTATATTGAAGGACATTTCCCTGTAGAACTCTAGAAGTTGTTTTCCAGTTCATAATTGCATGGTTTAGACAAACACATACAAAAAGAAATCTAAATCTTTGTAGGTTATGAGAATCTTTATCAGTGAAGTTGCTGGTTTTATTTTACTTTTTAACTTTATGTTGTGTTAGCTATTAAGAAGAAATCCTGAGAGGCGCCTTGGAGCTGGTGAGAAAGATGCAGAGGATGTAAAAAAACACCCATTTTTCCGAGTAAGTATGAAAGTTTAGAATTTTTTCTGAAACTATAGCCATTAGGAGTAGGAAACTAAACTGGACATTTTATATTTTGTAATTCAGCTAATTGATTGGAGTGCTCTGATGGACAAAAAAGTAAAGCCGCCATTTGTACCTACCATTCGAGGACGGGAAGATGTTAGTAACTTTGATGATGAATTTACCTCAGAAGCACCTATTCTGACTCCACCTCGAGAACCAAGGATACTTTCAGAAGAGGAGCAAGAAATGTTCAGAGATTTTGACTACATTGCTGATTGGTGTTAAGTTCCTACCCACTGTGAAACTGAGCAGACTGACTACAAGATGACCTCTTAAAAATAGCAACTCTTCATTTGCTCTCTGTGCCACCAGTAGCTTCTGAGTCTGTTTTTTTAAAACACATGAAGATTTGTTTTAAAGTACTTCTGATATCTTCTGAAAAGTAGCTTCTTGATGAATTCTCAATGTAAATCTGAGCACTGGAAACAGTTCCATGAAGTTTAAGCTGAATGAACATCAGGCGTGAAAATCTATCACAGATGAATACTTTTGGATCAATAGTCTTTTTTAAAAAAAAACAAATATGCTCTTCTATAGTCCCTAGTTTGGCTGTATGCCTGCCTTAAGTGGAAGGAAAATGAATCAATTAACTTCACTTAGCTGAATTTTTTAAATGAAAAAAGGGTTTGGGATGCTGTTACTAGTCAGACATGATTCTGTTTGAATAAGGCAAATACTCTTATTTTTTTAAAGAAATAACTGAAATATCAAAAAAAAAGTAGTAGTAGTTTGTGCACATTTTTAGGCCTTTTTTAATGAAATGAATTGATGTCTTGTTTTATAAATTTTTTATATTTATTAGGAGAAAACTTTTATTGCCTTATCTTTACCAACTATGTAACAGAACCTCACAGCTTTTCAACAGAGCTACTTGCCAAACACTTGTTTATTAAACCATGAAATGAACAGGAACAATTAAACATCAGCATTTACTTAAAATTTTAAGAATGAGAACTTCTGATTAGCCTGAACCAAGATACTGTGTTAACCTGTATGCATTCCCAAAGTCTAAACACTCAGCATGTTCAGTCATACCTTCCTCCAAAATCAGTGAACTCATTAGTGCTTCTTTTGATATTCATTGTACATTTATCAACCTAGTTCATCTTGTTCTTATGTCTACTGTAGAAGGGAACTATATCTTTGTTAAAACATAGGGGTTATCATTGTATACATGCTGTGAACATGTATATGTGCAAGTTGTAATGTATTCTATGTTGGTTTATTATTTAATTTCACCACTTCATCACTTTGTACAGTGGCCAAGCAGACACCTCAAACTCCCGCATTTGTTAAGTGCATTTGTACATTTTAGGCCACTGGATCCAGATTTTATATTGGCAGTTACTAAGGGCAAAAGCAATATATTGTAACAGAATGTATAAATATTTTTGATAAAACAGTTTATATTTTATAAAAATTATAACACTAAAGCTGTACCTCAAAAGTCTCAAAAATAATTTGATCAAGTACTTTTTACAACTTTTCAGAGGATCCTTTTGTGGCTTTTTAATGCTCTTATAGGAAAGTCTTTTTGTAAGCCATGACTTTTCCACTTGCCTGGAGTTTTGGATATTTTTGTTTGTTTGTTCATTTGTTTTTCCCTTCTAGTCCATGACTTCATTGTTTTTCCTTAGTTCAATAATAACATCTTTGATTCTGTGCTTAGCATATTAGGTTCATCATACCTCAGGAAAGCAAGTTATTAACTGAACATTCTGAATTAACCATTTAATCACAGTGATCTCATGTCTTAAAAACTGTTCAAGTTTAAATCATGAGAAACACGAAAGCAGAGAGTTGAGCTGAAAACATTTATAAATATTTCAGCCTTGCCAGAGGGTGTTGGCATGTTTTTGCTGTACTCTGAGAACAATTCAAATGGTTCAGAGATAATTCATATTTCCTTTCAAGTTGATTATTACCCAAGATCCTTTGGGGGATAATCTTCTAGAAGGAGCAATATGTTGTTTCAAGTTATTTTTAAATGCCAGTTGACTTTTGGTAAAGGACAATAGAGGATCTTAGCTTAATTGCCTGGCTTTAATTTAAACAGTATTAACACAACATTTTAAAAAAACACTAAATACTTTTGAGGTACAGTCTTTTCACCTTTTCAGGTTCTCAAATATGTATAAAAAGCAATGTCTAAAATAGGCTTTTAGCATTAAAAACTGACAGCATTTTTGTAACTACACAATGTACAGAAATTTTTTTTTAATTAAAGCCAATCACTAAAAAAAATTAGAGGGCAGGGTATATTCACACCAGTAAGCTGAAGAAAGCACTAATTTTTTCTGTAGTTTTAAACATATATATATATTTTAGTCAGATTTAAAATTTTTAAACTCTATAGAGTGTAAATATATTTTGCTATTACTGTATGTGTAAGTGACTGCTCAAGCACTTTGTGAGGAAATTAAAATATTTTAGAATGGTACACTATGCATTCATATGAAATGTGCCTTTAATTATGTCATTCTAAGAAAAAAGTGTTTTGCAGTCATAAATTACCACAGATGCACAAATTAAAGTTTAAATAGATTGCAATTTGTAACTTTGGTTTTAAGTATTATTTCTTTTTGAAAATTTTACATTGATCAAAGTATGCGTTGGCTTTACTGTATTCAAGATCTCAAAGACGTTAACTTTAGTTAGCCTTCTTGCAAGTACTTTTTGTCCTGGGGAAGGGCAAAATCATGAAGAGTCACAGCAAGTTGTTCTCTTCACTGACAATAATGGGAAAATTTTGCATCTTACTCCTGTAAGGTCAGCAGCATCTTCTATTCAATGGATATTGATGGAATGCCTTCTGTGTACTAGACACTGAGGATAAAAGGTAGGGGGGAAACATCAAAGTCTTCATAAATAAAGAACAGTATGCATTCATGCTAAAATGTAAGCACCATATTATATGTACTTTTTTCTTGTTTAAAGTTAACTTATTTTAAGACCTTACCTTTCAGAAAATAGGTTAATGTAAACAGAATATTAACATTTTATAGTCACTCAAAAATTACAAGTGACATATTTTAGAACAATAAAATTATCCATGCTGTTTCTGTAACACAAGTTGGGGGTCATAATGGAAATTGTTAGTACAGGTTAATTAGGTAAATGCTACACTGTAGATTCAAATCTAAGAAAATTTTTACAGGTGCTGCTTGTCTCCCTGAAAAACAGGGTGAGTATGAGAAATCCAAAGGAGCAAATAATTTAGAATTCTTATTTATCTACTAACTATATTTTGAGATCTAGTGTTTGTCTAAGATATTAACCTTATTGTGTGTATGCATATACATATACTGGTATATGTATATATATGTATGTATGTATAAACGTGCATATATATATTTATAAACATGTATATAAATGTATACATTTATTAATAGAGGTAAGCTTTTAAATAACTTCTCAGTGTTAAAAATCTTACATAATTGTCACTTCTAGTATTATGACTAAGGAAAAGCTCTAAGAAGACATCCATAATTTGAGGCATTTCTGGTTTTATTGAAGGTAGGAGTGGTCTCTGGCAACCCTTCACTCCCAACAGCAAACAAACTTGAGCATGAATCTGGACAAGCTAAGGCTTCAGATTAAGTTACTGAGTGCCTAAGCACAAAAGCGAGACTACTGAGAAGTTGGGACGGAAGCTGAGTCCACATAGTAGGCCAGAGAAGTAGGAAGTTGAAGAGGGTAAAAGCCAGAGTGGCAGGGAGCTGGTTTGGAAATGCAGACACCCAAAAGAAGTGGGGTTGCCCAGGATGGACTCCTCCAGCAATACCATTATGAGGACAACCTTGCAACAGCAGTAGAACTTACATTTTGTGCTAAAATCCTCAAGTTCTAATTTGAAAGTCACTCTCTAAAGTAGAATGAAATACTTTCTGAAGGAAAGCTTCTCAGGATGGGAACAAAGGCCTTTCACAAATTGAGGTTAAGTAAATACACGGTCTGGTGTTTAGTCGTTCACTAAGTATTGATCCCCTATTACTGGTTACCCGGCGTTGTGCTCGGTGTGGACAAGGCTCATGAAGTAGAGCCTACAGTTCATGAAGTAGGGGTACGTATACGTCACTTAGCAATGACATTAGTGTGATTCAGACTCCTCAAGGTGCTCTGGGAGTGCACCAGAGATCCAGGCAGGGAGTTAGTGAAGGGTTCTAAGTGAGGGAGGAAGATTTGAGTTTGCCACAGATGAGAGAACCTGGTACTTCTGAGGAAATGAGAATTCATTGTTCCTGGAGTGTGTGTATAAGCCGCAAGGAGAAGGTGAGTAGAGGTTAGGAAAGAAAGGGTCCTATTGTGCAGATGTTGTAGGCACTATTCAGGAGGTTATTTATCACAGGGCAGATCTAAATGTTATGGTACTGGAAGTGTGTGTACTTTTGGGGGGGTCCTCTTAATGAAATCCATGATAATATATGGCTACTGTATTCAGAGCCTTGGCAGGGGCCTGCACAGGTGCTCCTCAGATTTTTTTTTGCTTTCTGATAAGTCACCTCTGCCTCAGCCGTGGAAACATCTTCAGCTCGGATGTGATTAGATTGCCATGTGGAGAAGGGTCAGAGGGTGCAAGACTGAAGGCAGGCACAAGCTTGGGGCCTCTTCAGCAATGGTGGGAAGTGATAAAGACAAGCTAGGATATGGCACTTCGGTGTGAGAAAAAGTTGTATTCTGTTTAGGTGATAGAAACAAAGACTGGACTGACTTCATGTGGTCTTATACTGACCCCATCACATGAATGTTCCCCACCAATGTGATTTCCACCCATCCTTCAAGGGCCTTTTTCAAGTAAAAAGTTATAGGGCTTTTTGTTTCTCTGTTTTTTACATTTTGTGCCCTGCTCTTTCCACACAGGCAGAATGAGTGTTTCCTCTTCTCTGACCCCCTTGGCCTCTGCACACACCTCTGTCTTGTCTAATGCATCAGTGCAGGATATGCTTTATTCACCTCTAGTATCTTGCATCTCCAGGGTCTACATAGTGGAGAATAAATGGCTGCTTTTTTCTATACAAAGATTTTAAAATATTAACCCTTTGAGCGCCAACCAATATCCTAGGAACTATGCTAAAATTGCCAAGGCATTTTTGCTGATTTTACAGCAGTTTAGGGAAAAAATTATGAATCGCAAGTAAATGAAGTTACATATTCAAAAACTTAAGGAAACCTTTACTACATTTGTTTTCATCTTTGACATATATTGTTTGCTGATTGTATTATAAAATACTAGTAGAAAAAAAAATTGCCTATAGCGCTCCCGGCACTTTTGTCAAAAGACAGGAGCACAATCGCGCTCCCCGGCACTCAAAGGGTTAAGTATTAGTGATTGAGATCCAGCCTCAGATCAGTTGTTGATGTGAGTTGTAAGTGGGCTGCAATATAACAAGGGTGTTCCTCTGACAAGAGCCACTTCTTGTTTAAGTTCAGTCCTTCTGGACCTACAGAGAACTTCCACATTCATGCTGTCACTTGAAACTAGAGGCATTTTGAAAATCAGCACAATGGAGGGTAGCAAGAGGCCTGGGACTAGTCCTCATTTTGCTAGTCTCTAGTAGTAAGATGCAGGACAAGTTATTTCACCTTGCTAGTGACATAGCATTTCACCCTAATGTCTTCGTCTGTAAAATGAAAGAGTTGGAGTAGGGCATTCATTTGTACCTTCCTTTTCAAACAAAATCTTTAGTGGTACTCCAACACATAATCGGAGCAGAAGCGAGCTGGGGGCTATTTCTGAGGTCTTCTATGGAAGACCCTGATCTACACCGTTTGATGTCCATGCTGCTTGGAGGGCCTTCAAGCGACTTTAGAGTGGCCATTGAATATCCATCATCTCCAATATGCAGTAGAAGAAAACGGTGATAGACTAAAGCACAGTTAAAATGTGTTATCAGGGCCAAAATCTGGACCCCTGATGTGTACTGAAGAGCAGACCACCCCTCAGATGAATAAACTAAAACAGTAGGAGATGTCAATTACACAGTAGATATTTGTTGGGCCTCAGCAATGTAGGAGGAGGTTGAAAGCTCTTGGTCCATCATTGACTTGTCTGGTGTCTCATAGCCATGTAGTGGAAGGAACCACAGATGCAGTAAGGGCATTCCAGAGAAATCTCTGACAGATACAGCGAGTCTGATAAAATACCTTCAGTAAGGTATTCAATGTGATGTGTTCATCTGGAAGCTCCGTATAACTTTTACATCATAGACCTGCCTTGTGGAACAGTATAGATCACCCTAGCCTCTCCAGCATCTCTAAGAGCTGTAGACCCAATTCTTGTATGGTTTTTACTTTGTCACTTATGTCAATTTAAAGTAAACTGTCATTTGGCAGAATCTCAAATTCAACAGGGCATCACTTCTAGTTCTTGCTCTTGCTGTTACTTAGCATACCAGTGATATTCTTTCTCAGAGCTCTCAAACATTTATCCTTCATAGGCTGTTGCAGATGAGAGAAAGCATGAGAATTATTCTGATATTCTGCAGAGGAAAAGCTTTATGCTCATATTTTCCCTCCTTTTTCACCAAGTGCAAGCTTGAGCATCCTAGAATGGCAGTGAAAAGTCCCCCTGGCCAAGAAATGCCAGCAAGAATTATGAATGGAAGTGTATGTTTGTGAGAGATGCTGGGGTCTCTGGGGCTAGAGATCAGCTGAATGATGTGTTTGCAGCGACACCTTGAAATCTTGAGATCCTGATGAAAGGAGTGTGCATGTGTAAATATCCGGGAGGGAGAGAGGGGACCTTTCAGGAGGTCCATGAGTGGCAGATGAGATTAAAACTCCAGCAACAGGAAAAGTCAGGGCCATTGACAATTGGAAATATTGGCATGGGCACGGAGGCCTCTGGCTGGATTAGGACCAGATGGGTAATAGGCTGACCCCCTTCAGCTGTTCATCTTGATAATTAAAGTAAATCTTGCACCTGCGATACAAAATTAGCTTAGAAACCAAAGACAACCATGGGTAAAGTACATGTGTTGCTTTGAACACAAAGGCTTACTATCAAGAGGCATCTTGTTTAAGAAGCATTTATTTTGGAAGAAGAACAACTTATAGCAGTGATGGCGAACCTTTTGAGCTCGGCGTGTCAGCATTTTGAAAAACCCTAACTCAACTCTGGTGCCGTGTCACATACAGAAACTTTTTGATATTTGCAACCATAGTAAAAAAAAGATTTATATTTTTGATATTTATTTTATATATTTAAATGCAATTTAACAAAGAAAAATCAACCAAAAAAAATGAGTTTGCGTGTCACCTCTGACACGCGTGTAATAGGTTCGCCATCACGGACTTATAGCTATTAACTCCTTGACACCTGGACTGGTTTTTAAATATTTTAAAAACTCAACTCTGAAGAGCTTTCCCCAAGAAGCCAGATAAAAGTGTTGCTTTGAATAATTCTGTTAATCTTAGTAATTGAACAGAATTTGATTTGGAAGCTACAACTAAAGTTCATCTTGAGGCAGCCTCCTAAGTTTCAATAGTGGGTTTAGTAGAAAGAGCACTGGATTGAGGGATCGAGAGACCTGAGTTAGTCCCACCTCTTGCTACGGTGAACTTGGACAGAACTTGCGGTTTCTCTGCATGTCTCTGATCTACAAAATGGGGGTATTTGACCAGAGGGCTCAACCTTAGAATCCATGAAACAATCCAATCCTTGCACTCAGTGTAATAGCAGAGATTGTCAATGAAAGTGGCTTCCAGTGTCTTCCCCCCACTCCTTCTCTTTTTGGGTGACTGTTTTAAATACCCGGATGGAAGGAGCCATATTAACCAAGATTTCAACTGCTTTAAAAATGTTAGAATGCACAGGAGGGATCCACTTTATCATGGCTCACTCCTATTCCTAACTTGCTAAAATGTAGGCAGCTATGAATGAGGTGGGTGTAGGCAGAAGCTGGCTGCTATAAACGAGGTGGCTGTCCACCTATGTATGAGGAGTTTTTCATACCTCAAGATGAGTAAAAGTCATAACCAATCGTTGGTTTAGAATGTATTATATTTTAAGTACAGTAGTTCTCCACCCATTCGTGAGGGATGTATTCCACGAACTCTAGTGGATGCCTGAAACCTCGGATAGTACCAAATCTTACATATACCATGTTTTTTTTTTTCTGTACATACACACCTATTATAAAGCTTAACTTATAAATTAGGCACAATAAGAGATTAATAGCCATAAGCATAAAATAGAACAATTATAACAATATACCACTGTAATAAAAGTTATGAGTGAGGTCTCTCTCAAAATACCTTATTGTAATCATCCCTTCCTTGTAGTAAACGGTGCCACTTGTTTCAGGGGATTCCCTGCTGGTCTGCATACAGGCTCAGTGCCATCAATCAAAACATGTTTTCTATTCATGTCTTCCACCCACGAATTTAAAGCCTTTCCCATCTTAACCACTTATCATGCTCTGTGGCCATAACTTTTGCAGTTTGAGGTGCGACAGTAAAGCTAGCACAAATTTCTTTTTCCTCCATCTTCCACCTGAATTATTTCTACACTTGTTTTTGAGCTTGCCAATTCTCCATGTGGCCTGTTCTATTTCAGTGCTTTCTGATGCGTTTTCCATCTCATTTTTAAGCTCCAGAATTTGATTCTTTTTTTATAGTTTAAATATCTTTGGTAAAAGTACTCCTTTATCCATTAATTTTATTCCTGAACCCATCAAACTGAACTGCATTTCTGAGTTTTCTTTTATCTTGTTGAGTTTCTTCATGGCTATTTTGAATTTTCTATCATTTAGATCACAGTCTTCCATGACTCCTGAGCTTTTGTTGTTTCTGCAGAAACCAAACTTGGTTGTTCAAGTTGGCTGATGTGTGTTCTACCAGCACATTTGAGATAGTGAACACTTTTCTTAAGGACTAGTTTGCTTTTAATAATTCAGCAGGTTGATAGGTCTTTCATTTTCCAGTAGATGGCACTAGTTTTGGGTTTTTTTTCTTACCAACACTACTGGTGCCTCAAAGGTCATGGTAGGGGGTATCCCAGTGGTCCCTGGAGTCATTGTCTGGATGTTAGGGTGGTGGGTGTTCCTGCTGTGTCCCTGGTCATTTGGATCTCAGGGAACTACCACCATCGTGGGGGAATGTGGTGGGTGAAGAGGAGCTGTGTTCATGAGCCTGCCACAGTTACCTGGTTCCCTCTGTGTGCAGGTGCCTCTGTGCTGCAGCTCTGAGGGCATTGACCAGTTGCAGCTGCTACCAGGCTCCATCATATGGCAGGAGGGAGCTGGATTCTCCAATGCTGGCACTGCTTCTGCTCTTTACCCTCCAGTGAGCATAGTGTGGGGGCCACACCCTGACTTAGCTGGAGAAAAGGCGTTACTTGTTGGTCTTCGCTTACATTGCCTAGCAGTCAAGTGACCTTAAATCAGTGTTCCTCAAAGAGTGATATGCAAAACACCTACACATCACAATCACCTGAGGGTAGGGTGCTTATTAAAAAAATTCCTGGACATTATCAGGCCAAATAATCTCCATTTAAAATATTCTTTACCCTATGAGTATCCCAATCAGTAAAAGTAACAAAGAATTATGGATATGCATATTTTATAAAATGAAACGTTAAGATCTGAAAATTGAAATCTGTTGCTCTATTTATTTACCAGCATCTTCTCTGCTCAATCTCATGGAGGAAAACGCACATTCTTATCAAGGCAGTGCCATCCAGTGTCCAGTTCATCACTTCTTGCCTTTTTTTTTTTTTAATCCTCACCCGAAGATATTTTTTCCATTAGAAGAGTGGAAGGGAGGGGAGGAGAGAGAAAGAGAGAGGAACACCATGTGAGAGAAACAATTAGTGACCAGGTACAGGGGTCGAAACCCACAACCCTTTGGTGCACAGACCGAGGCCTTAACCACTGAGCAACATAGGCCAGGGCACTTCTTGCTTTTTAATACATACATAGGGTGTCCCCAAAAATGTATACACACATTTTGAATAACTATAAAGGCAGTTTATGAAAATATACTTTATTTTCAAAGTTAAGCCATCAGCTGTTAGAGTGTATATACATTTTTCTGGAACACCCTATATAAATTATAAGCCACACAAACATTTAAAACTACAAACTTGTTCTTGTTGTCAACAGCCATTGCTAGTTCCATGACTTTATTAAAATTTAAAAAAAAAAAACACGAAACAACTAAATATATATTTCTTAAACAAAAAACAAGGACTTCTATCAGCTTTATTAGCTACAATAATATGCCTTATTTGTAATTATACATTATAAATTATAAATTACATATAACATGTAATTATAACAAAAACTTTAGTTTTGAAAAACATTTTATTCAAGACTTACATAATTTCAAATATCTTCCAAAATAGTTTCTAAATAGCTAAAAAAGAAAGCAAATTCAATAAGAAATTTAAATCATTAAATATGTTTTACTAGTATATACATACATAATGCCAAGCAATTAACATTAGCCCTGGAATGCGTACCATTTCTTTTTCCTTATTAAAGGCTCAATCCAGCAATTTATATACGCTATGTACAATAGGCAAAGTTCAGTGACCACAAGAGTTTGACATTAGCTGCCTCAATTTATAATTGGGGTAGTTTGTCAACAGGGGTGTCAAATTTGAAGTCTGGAGGAAACAGATCTGGGGCCCGAGGATAGATTAGTCTGTAGGACTGCCTGATTGTAACATCAGCAACACCAGCAATATCTCCAATTTCTAAAAGACAAAAAATAAAAATATTAAAAGTATAACTTCTATCCTACCTACATTCTACTACCTAAATTTCAATTTGTGAGATACAGTTGTATAAAATGTCAAAGTGAAAAACAAAACCAAAGCTATTGTTTTTTAAAAATCAATAATGGAATTATATACTAAAAGTCAAAAGCAGTGCTAAAGTTATTACTGGTATTACCCTATTACCTCAAAGGGTTATCATCAGTATTAAAAGTTTTACTACATGTAAAACATTTGAACAATGCTCAGGGCATAGCACTGCAAGTGGCAACCATTATATTGGCCTTCATATTTGAAACTGACATCTTTTTCTTCACAATAAACCTTTTTGAGGATCATAGAAGTAATCCATGAATGCATTCTTGTGAAGAAATTAACTTTATTATTTAAAGTTCCCTTGCAACATCTCCCTCTTCTGTTATGAGGCTAAAGCCAAAAAGGGATCATACTATAAATATTGTTCTAAAACTTTTTCCTACTTATTACATCAGAGATCACACAGCTGAATATAACAGCATAATGTAGATGTGTTTTGCTATTATAAACACAGTTGAGCATATATATTCTCTATTATAAACAGTTGATACTTGTTCACATGAGGATTTCTACACCCTAGAGCAGTGGTTCTCAACCTTGGCTGCACATTAGAATCACCTGGGAATCTTTAAAATCCTGATTTCTGGGCCTCATCCTCCGGAAATTCTGTTTCTTTGTTATGGGGTGGGGCCACAACATTAGTAACAAAGAAACAGAATTTCCGGAGATGAGGCCCAGAAATCAGGATTTAAAAAGATTCCAGGTGATTCTAATGTGCAGCCAAGTTTGAGAACCACTGGCCTAGACTAGAGTATAGGAAGGAGTGGATACAATTTAACCCTTCAAAGTAGTTACCACTTTTTTTCTTCTTTTTATTAAATCCTAAAGGACTACCACTTGACAATTATTTGGTTAGTTATAAATAATTAAAATGGATTTTTAAAACATGCCTTTTAATAAAAACTCAAATAAATGAGGTTTTACATTTTCAGTGATAGCTGCCATCAGTGTGCAGCTAACGGATTTTGAATTTCCTTATGCATTACATCGTTTTAGACATAGATACCGATGAATGTCAACTATGTGAATATGAACTTACAGGAAGAAAAGGGCCTTAACTTTCAACAAAACATTTAGTCTAAAACACAAGTAGAAGAAGGTGTCTAGATAAAATTTTTGTGTTGTTGATTAGAATAAACTTTACAACTAGGAATTAGTAAGGACCACCTGTGCCTAGCTTCAGCTTATAAATTCTACCAGAAGACTCAAAATTTCCTTAAAAACATGAGTGGCCTGACCAGCGTGGCTCAGTGGTTGAGCATTGACCTATGAACCAGGAGGTCACAGTTCCATTCCTGGTCAGGGCACATGCCCAGGTTGCGGGCTCAATCCCCACAGGGGGGCATGTAGGAGGCAGCCGATCAATGATTCTTTCTCATCATTGATGTTTCTATCTCTCCCTCTCCCTTCATCTCTGAAATCAACATATATATATATATATATATATATATATATATATATATATATATATATATATATATATATATAAAGAAATATGAGTGGAGGCCAAAGGCAATCAGGGCACATTTAAATAACAAATGGTGACTTATTCCTGATCATTCTTCTATATCATTTACTACTTTTATGATAGGGAAACATGGCCTAAGCCGATGTGAAAGGCTATTCCGAATAGGGTATTATAGTTATCGCAGTAAGTAATTTCATTACCACACTTTTACATTTAACTGCTCTTTTTTCTTTATGAATCTTTTTGAGGATCACAGAATGAATGAATTCATGCTTATATAGAAATTCACTAACACTTCTGTTTGAAAACAATGCTAAATTAAAAAATGGCTTTACAGTGTATAAGGTGGAAACTACTTATGCCAAGTGTTTTCATTAGGAGACTGTGAATACTGTACAAAAGGAGACAGAATAGGCTTCACAGACTGTTACAGCCTGATTGCCAGGCGGTGAGAAACAAGGCATGGCCCTCCTCTCAAGATTTAAAAAAGTAAGTTTTGAGGAGGGGGAAAGAAAACTATTCAAAATAACCAGGAAAATGTGGGGGAGGGAGGGAGGAAAAAGTCTAAATATTAAGAATGTACAAACTAAAAATAATTCAAATGAGAAAAAAGATTAAGTCTATACAAAGGCTAAACCTCCAAACATTTTTATATATGAGCTCCTAAGAAGGGAAATACTCTATTTTCTTAAGTTATGATGGTATGGAACTACCTCTTAAAGTGGGTTCTGGATATTTACCTGCTTCATACCTAAAATGGAACTAAACATGACGTGCTACAGCCACCATGGTCTTATCACTCCTCTCCTACCTTTTTGGGTCCTCTTCTCAGCTGATGCCTGTGAGGCCATGTAAATGGCTGCTGCCGCCACAGATATCGGGCTCCTTCCAGGCACCAAGTCCAGTTCCACAGCTTTACGGGCTATATGTGTAGCTGCCATCTGCACTTGCTTAGGAAGACAGAGGTTGGAACAAAACCTGGACATGAAGTCCCCAGTTGTAATCAAATCCACACTGGTTTCTAAAGCTTTCAAAATAAGTTTAAAACATCGACCAATTTCTTTCTTAGAAATTCGTGATACGGCACATATTTCTAAAAGAAAAAAAAAATTAGATAAATACATCTATGTAAGTCATATAGTTCATTTTAAAATCTATCATTTCAGATTACAAAAGTAATACATTCTAATAGCAAAAAATTCCAACCATGCCTTACAGATGAATCCCTAATCATCTCCATGATACTTCCCTTAGAGCAGCGGTTCTCAACCTGTGGGTCACGACCCCATTGGGGGTCGAATGACCCTTTCACAGGGGTCGCCTAAGACCATCGGAAAACACATATATAATTACATATTGTTTTTGTGATTAATCACTATGCTTTAATTATGTTCAATTTGTAACTATGAAAATACATCCTGCATATCAGATATTTACATTACGATTCATAACAGTAACAAAATTACAGTTATGAAGTAGCAACGAAAATAATTTTATGGTTGGGGGTGACCACAACATGAGGAACTGTATTAAAGGGTTGCGTCATTAGGAAGGTTGAGAACCACTGCCTTAGAGCTAATTTAAATTTCCTGTTAATTTAAATGTTTATCAAACTTTAAGGACATTTTTTCCCCAAGGTTAAATGCAGATCTTTTTTATTTTTTTTAAATCCTCACCCAAGGATAGTTTTTCCATTGATTTTTAGAGAGAGTGGAAGGGAGGAAGGGATGGGGAGAGAAACATTCATGTGAAAGAGACATATCGACTGGTTGCCTCCCGTTCCCCCATATGAGCTCCGACCAGGGCCAGGGATCGAACCTGCAACCCAGGCGCGTACCCTTCACTGGGAACTGAACCTGTGACCCTTAGGTGCGAGAACCAACGCTCTATCTATTGAGCCACACTGGCCAGCACTTAAATGCAGGTCTTAATATTTAAAAATATTAATGTACCTGAAGGTTCAATTTATGTAAATAATATTCCTCAAGCAATCAAAAACTTCTTTGATATTTATATATTAATCTATAAGGAATATGTATCAAGGAGATAAAAAAATACTCAAGCTAAATAAAGAATGCTTCTCCAGCTACACAATGTCTTATGTACATGCTATCCCTGTGATTATAGGCTGTAGCAAAACAAAATAAAATATGAGCCTGTTGGTCTAAAAATTCAACTACCAAGCACTTTAAAAATAAATTTAACAAAAGCCTTAGTTTCACTTGTAATAAAAAAGATGATAAAGGCCACTGCCTCTTCATAAAGAGAAAATGTAAAAATTAAACATTCACAGATAAATAAAGGGTAATTATAGTCTTAAGCCAAAACGAACCCTGGCAGTTAAAGTCAGTATACGCATCACAGCAATACTGAATAGGTGGTCACGTATTCATAGGTAAACTGCAAACTGGATGAAAAATACTAGTTCTCTCAAAGTCTCCAACTTAACTGTGAAAGTGCAAATTGCATAACTCAGGATAAAAAATGTCACTGATGCTTTTTAAGGGTTGACTCCCTCACTTGTAGAGACGTGGCTATATGTGGAAACTGTTTTCTATGCATCAAAAATTTACAGACTCACTACAGAGTCCTACTCTGGTTTATAATAACAGGCTTCAAAACGTACAAAAGTTCTAATTGCCAAGGAACACAGGACAGGGCTCACTCACATGGACTAAAATGACTTTACATGAGAAAACCACCTGAAAAGAACATCGTCAATTAAATTACATAATTAATTTTTGTCAAGGAACAAAAATAAACAGGCATTTGGAAACTGTATTTAGGTGGATTACTGGATATAACCACAAAGACACAACATAGCACTACTTAGTGTCAAAGCTGCCTGACTTTGGTAATATGACATAGATAAGACTTTTATTTAGGCAACTGAAAACTCACCTTTAAATGTCCTAGGAACCCCTTCTTGTCTACAGGCAATATAGAGACACGCAGAAGCTATGGCATCATTAGCTCTTCCCTTCAGGCTCTTCTGTTCATACACTTGCTTGAATAAATTATTTGTTCGATCCTTCAAAACAGAGAAACTAAGTTTAATTAACTCTAGGCCATTTAATTAGTTGCAATATCAAAATTTTATGTGTTCATTAAATTATGCTAAGTCAATGCCAGAATGGCTTAAAGGAGACAGACAGGAACTTACAACTATATTTCTAGGGAGGTTGATTCTGTCTGCCATGGTAGTGATTTCCTTGAACGCATTCATCATGGCCCGATCAGAACTACTCATTGTTCTCCGATTCTGGTACTTAGAATTGCCAAATTCATCAAAACTTGCAGCTCCGGTGCCCTATAAAACAAAGTTTTATAACTTTATATGCAAAATTTTGAAAATCTGAATGAACAATTTCTGAGAAAACAGAGCTCATATGATCTGACTCCACATGCCCAAGAAACCTACCCTGTGTAACCTTTCTGTTCTTCCAGGTAAAATGGTTTTAGGAATGTTTTCTATCAAATACTTTAAATGTAAAAATCTCTATTGAGAATCTAATAATATAAATTATCATATTAAAAGACTACAAAGAAACTCAAATGATCATCTCTAAAGGTACTAAAAAAAAGGTCTAGTAAACAAAACTCAAAACCCGTTAAAAAAAATCTGATAAAACACTAAAAATGGGTACTTCTTCATATTAGAAAATCACTCTCCCAGGCCCAAAGCCAGCAAGATGATTAACAGAGAAAACATCTGCAGCATTACATTTGTCAGAAGACAAAGGCACTTCTTACCTCCACATTGTAGCAGTGTACTAGGAGAACTAGCTAATATGTAATTATAATTATATAACAATTATATAAATTATATTAGTATAATTATATTAAAATTAGGCAAGAGGAAAATTAGAAGTACAAATTTATGAAGTAATCAACCAGTTAGAAGACAATGAAAGAAAATTAGTTGCAATCTTACATCTGAAAATGTCCTTAGTATACTTTTTCCAGCCTGTAAGACTAAAGCAACTACAGATATCACCTACTTAAAAGATATTTCTGGCCCTAACCGGTTTGGCTCAGAGGATAGAGCGTTGGCCTGTGGACTCAGGGGTCCCAGGTTTGATTCCGGTCAAGGGCATGTACTTTGGTTGCGGGCACATACCCAGTAGGGAGTGTGCAGGAGGCAGCTGATCGATGTTTCTCTCTCATCGATGTTTCTAACTCTCTGTAAAAAAATCCCTCTCCCTTCCTCTCTGTAAAAAAATCAATAAAATATATATATTTTTAAAAAAAGATATTTCTGAACACTGTAATCTTTTAAACCTAGTATACACTATGCTTTTCAAATTTGATATGTAATGTATACAGCATAAAAAAAATAATTAATGACCTGCTTTTTCACGTTACTTTATTAAAAATAGACTGTGCAGTAGTATAGGTTAAGTACTAAAATAGCATACACTTCCTTGATTAGTCCTTTGGAATATTGCTAGTACTATTTCCAATTCAGATACCAGAGCAAAAAAGAGCCAGGTTGCCAGGACGGTTATGCTACTATCCTATGTAATAGCAGCAGCTACCATTAATTGAACACATAATACATGTTGTTATAAATACGTCACATATATTCCCATGTAATTTTCAGTATCTCTATGAAGTAGTAGTATTCTCACTTTACTGATGAAAAAATGTAAAGCTTAGGTAAGTATTTCCAATACTAGAAAATAGGCTATATTGAGTTCCAATTTGTTGTAGGTGGTATAAAAGGAAAAGACATTACTAGTGTTCTAGGAGCATAACAATATGTACTCACAGAGACCATACTATGCTCAACCTAATTTTTGTGCAAAATGTGCTTCATGAAAACAAGGGCTGGAGATATTAAGGCTCTGATTTTGAGCTGTTGGCCTCCCCTTTACAATGGAAGCAATGCATAAGGCAACCATCATTCTCAATGGTATTACTGGCAAATCTCATTCTGAGGACAAGACTGCTCACTGAGGCAGTGACTGATGCCTCTGCAAAGTTCCCCAACTCCCAGGTTTCTGGTCAGGCCTCACTTGGTATTACCTTGCCAATCATGGTAGACAAATCTCGATCACTCAGAAGAGGATTCTGAGAATCTCCAACTCGAGATGGATCTTTTGTTGCTTTATCATTGCTGAAAGTTCTCCATTCAGATCCCACATCGATAACCCGGTCACCTAAGAATATAAGCACAAATCTAAATAGTCTTGGCAATACAGGGTTTACTTAACACTGTCTAACATGCCCAACTCAATGCTTTTATTCCCAGAAAATTTCAATATGGACATCTAGGCTCCAGCTTAAGTATCATGTCTCAGACATTTGTCCTAAAGCATTCCTTTAATTGTTGTGCCAGCCCAATAATTACCGTCTAAAAATCTCATGCTATAATTAGTCATATTCTAATTCTAAAAAGAAAAAAGACTTAAGACAAATAACAAAATAAACCTATTTATATGTGAAACAAAGATAAAATAGTATAATGATTCTGAACAAAAGTTTGCACAAAATGTGCAACAGGCATGAAAGAAACATTAGACAACACTGTTCACAATGGTATCAATGCGCACAGCCTAATTTAAAAAAATACTAAGTTTTCACAGGAAATGCTTTGCAAAGAACTACGCCTATGCTTGTTTTGGTAAATATTTAATAAAAAATATTTTTGGCCAAATAATTTATAAATAACAAACTTTAAGCCTAGAATCAGTGAGAAGAAAGCCAAGTAGACCACACACACACACACACACACACACACACACTAGACGCCCCCTCAGCCCAGCCTGCACCCTCTCCAATCCAGGACCCCTTGAGGGTTGTCCGACTGCCGGTTTAGGCCTGATCCCAGGCCCGGCAGTCGGACATCCCTCTCACAATCCTGGACCACTGGCTCCTAATCACTCACCTGCCTGCCTGCATGGTCGCCCCTACCTGCCCCCCTTGTGGGCCTAGTTGCCCCCAACTGCCCCCTCCTGCCAGCCTGGTCGCCTCTCACACACCCCCACCCCCCACCGGCCTGGATGCCCCATGCAGCCTGCTGTTCAGTCGTTTGGTCGTCCCTCACTAACCCACCTGCCGGCCTGGTCACCCCACACAGCCTGCTGTTCAGGAGAGACAGAAATCAGTTACCTCAGCAATTAAAAGATGTTCTGGTGCTGACAGTAAATTAATAAAATGCTCAAGAGTGTAGACTCTATCACTTGTTGCTTAGCCTTGGACAGATTACCTCATTTCTGTGCCTTTACTGCCTCGGCTTTAAATTTTCCCAATAACCTTACATTTTAAAGATTGTAAAGATTAAACTGTAAGCTAATACAGGTATAGTGCATGAGGAGTGCTTTAAAAGCAGTTCAGAGAAACCAAGATGGCGGCATAGGTAAACAACGGAAATTGCTGCCTCGCACAACCACTTCAAAAATACAACTAAAACACAAAACGGACATCATCCAGAACCACAGGAAGGCTGGCCGAGTGGAAATTCTACAACTAGAAGGAAAGAGAAAAGCACACTGAGACTCAGAGGAGGTGCGGAAGTAAAGTGCAGAGGTACGGAGGCGCACATGGAAAGGGCTGGCAACTGAGGACACGGTTGTCTTTTTCAATCGGGAGGGAGTCTCAAGCTCTTGGCTGCTCTGAACTCCAGTTCCGGGCAAGTCTCTGGGAACCCAGACTCACACGGGGAGAAACTGGACTGTCTGGCATTGGTCGGAACTCGAGGGCGGCTTTCTCTCAGAGGTGCTTACAGCGATTACCAGGACACTGAGACTCGGGGCCTCTTAGGGTAGGACTGAGGGTCAGCCATAGCTGTTTGCTCCATCCTGTTGATTCCCTGAGACCCCGCCCCACCCAAGCTGTGTGCAGAGGCTTTTGCATATGAATGGCCTGGCCCTTTGCAATCTGAAAATTACCTAACAAACTGCAGCTGGGTCAGAGAGACCCAGAACATCCAAAAGAAGGCCCAAGGCCCCACAGCTGCTTGCACTGCTTCACAGCTGGGCCTCATCTACGCACCTCCAAACCCCAAACAAGGAAAGGGAATCTGCAGATTTCTCCATAGCTCCTGCTGGGTAGCCTCAGGCAGGGGCTAAATTAGCACCTCCTTAGAGATCCAAGAGCCAGTGTACCCAGTGGTCAGAGTGGGACCATCCAGATTACAACTCCTCAGATCCATAAGGGACACACTCAGGGGGCAGACTCAGTGAGCACCAAAGCCCCACTGAAGCAAGTCTTGTCCCAGAAGGGTGTCTCCAGCACAGAAGTTCTCCCACTGTAGACACAGCTGATTCTCACAGCCAATTGGCCTGGAGATCAATTCCTCCCAGTGATACCAACAACAGTCAAGGCTTAACTACAACAAGACTGTGCACACAGCCCACAAAGGGTGCACCAAGAGTGTCCACCTCAGGTAATTGGGGAGGCTGAGCCACTGGGTCCTATAGGACACCTAGCACAGAAAGCCACTCTATCAACACAGGGAAGCATAAAAAAAAATGCAGAGACAAAGAAACAGGACACAAATGACAGAAATGGAGGAAAGCAAACTACAGGATATAGAGTTCAAAACCACACTTATAAGGTTTTTCAAGAATTCTCTAGAAACCGCTGATAAACTTAGTGAGACCCTCCATGAATCTAGTGAGACCCTCGAGGATATGAAAAAGGACCAACTAGAAATTAAGCATACACTGACTGAAATAAAGAATATTATACAGAGTTCCAACAGCAGACTAGAGGATCGCAAGAATCAAGTCAAAGATTTAAATACAAAGAAGCAAAAAACACCCAACCAGAAAAACAACAACAAAAAAAAGAATCCAAAAATATGAAGATAGTGTAAGGAGCCTCTGGGACAGCTTCAAGCGTACCAACATCCAAATTATGGGGGTGCCAGAAGAAGAGAAAGAGCAAGATATTGAAAACCTATTTGAAGAAATAATGACAGAAAACTTCCCCTACCTGGTGAAAGAAATAGACTTACAAGTCCAGGACACGCAGAGAACCCCTAACAAAAGGAATCCAAAGAGGACCACACCAAGACACATCATAATTAAAATGCCAAGAGCAAAAGACAAAGAGAGACTCTTAAAAGCAGCAAGAGAAAGAAAGTCAGTTACCTACAAGGGAATACCCATACGACTGTCAGCTGATTTCTCAACAGAAACTTTGCAGGCCAGAAGGGAGTGGCAAGAAATATTCAAAGTGATGAATACCAAGAACCTACAACCAAGATTACTTTACCCAGCAAAGCTATCATTCAGAATTGAAGGTCGGATAAAGAGCTTCACAGATAAGAAACAGCTAAAGGAGTTCATCACCACCAAACCAGTATTATATGAAATGCTGAAAGGTATCCTTTAAGAAGAGGAAGAAGAAGAAAAAGGTAAAGATACAAATTATGAACAACAAATACACATCTGTCAACAAGTGAATCTAAAAATCAAGTGAATAAATAATCTGATGAACAGAATAAACTGGTGAATATAATAGAATCAGGGGCATAGAAAGGGAATGGACTAACTATTCTCGGGGGTGAAAGGGGTGTGGGGGGTGCGGGAAAGACTGGACAAAAATTGTACACCTATGGATGAGGACAGTGGTGGGGGGGTAAGGGCAGAGGGTGGGGTGGTAACCGGGTGGAGGGGAGCTATGGGGGGGAAAAAGAGGAACTGTAATAATCTGAACAATAAAGATTTAATTAAAAAAATAAAAAATAATAAAAAAGAAAAAAATAAAAGCAGCTCAAATAAGTGCTTGGTATTAGCTACTTACTGCTCTGAAAATGAAAATACAATGGCAGGTATTGACATTTCCCCCTTTTGGTGGGGGAAATAAGGAGAGGCAGCATTTGTAAAACATGACTCTCCATATTACACTTCAACAATATCAGAGTGCTCTGCTGCAGGCATTTGGTCAGTAGGACAGCAAAAGAGGCAAGGAAAGAACAGAAGGAAGGAACTCCATGCAGACTGCTAAACCTTTTCAACTATTTCTTATATCGTACGTTAATTAAAATGCTCATAAACAGCATACAGTGATCATAATCTGATCTTAATGTTATAAATAAGCAGGTAAATGCACAACGGATGGTTTTGGAAAAATTAGTTTTTCTTTGAACAGTCAAATCATGTCGGAGTAACCAGGTATCACTTGGACTACCAGGTGTCCATGCCACAGGGGAACTGAGATCAGTGGCAGGGCCCCCATCTGCTACATCTGTATGCAAGAAAATGGTCAAGGAAACAGAAGCAGGGAGATGAGTTATAAGGCAATTTCTCTAGATTAGAGATCGAGCAGGTGGCCCAAAATAAGGAGAAAAAGAGGTTAACACTTGGATTGCGGGAAACGAGTTAAGTCGGCTCGCGTGAATTGCGCGTACTCCGCGGGAGCCGTCTTAACTCGGTTCATATAGATTTGCGGTGGAGTGCGGGAAACGTGTAAACTCGGGCCGATTGTAACTGCGTATTACCAAATATTTGTTTGTTTGCCGTTCACAAAGATACCTACCTGCGTATGCGAACCGTTTCATACCCATTGGGGTAACAGGTATCATAAAAATCCCTTGTAAGTAGAGAACACTTTATGGCGCTGGTCGAGTACAATACCGTTAGGGTACCAATGTATTGTTTTCTCATTTTATAACCGATATCCCTGGATATCTCACCATGCAAAGAGAATAGTTATTGAGAAATACTTGTGTCCGGACGTCTTTAGTTTTGAGTTTTGTGAATATTATTACGTGTTTAAATATTTAAATATATTGTGATAAAGACATTCATATAGAATTTTTTAACCAAATAAAATAAAATCGTTCCGCAAAGTGTTCGCATAATAATTATTTTTTTATATCAGATATCTATCGGAGTACCGCTATTTTCAGTTAGTATTATTTTTATTTGCTTTAACCTAGAATGTCGCAGCATTCAGACTATAGTGATGATGAGTTTTGTGCAGACAAGTTGTCCAATTATTCTTGTGATAGCGATCTTGAAAATGCGAGTACAAGTGATGAAGATTCTAGTGATGATGAAGTAATGGTGCGTCCCAGGACATTGAGGCGACGAAGAATTTCGAGCTCCAGCTCTGACTCAGAGTCAGATATAGAAGGCGGGAGAGAAGAATGGTCGCATGTTGATAATCCACCGGTCTTAGAAGATTTTTTAGGGCATCAAGGATTAAA